TCAGTCCTCTGGAGACCTGGTTATCATTGCATTGATCAGAGTTCTTAAGTCTTTGAAGGTGGTTTTTCTTTTCAATATTGTAGTTACTGTACAAATTGTTCTCTTATCTCTGTTCTCTTCACTTTATATCAGTTTATACAAGTCTTCCTAGGTTTCTCTGAAACCATCTCATTCTTCGTTTCTTATAGCATGATATCATTCCATCACATATGTATACCACAGTTTGTACAGTTATTTCCCGATAGATAGCTGCTCTCAGTTCCCAATTCTTTACCACAGTAAAAGATCTTGGACTGAAGTCCTAGTTTCTGGTGAAGCTGAGATTATCCTAGAGTAACGCCATGGTGGTGAGACTGTGAAGTGTAGTTACTGCATAATTCCTATCTCAACAATGCCAAAAGCTCACTTGGCAAAGGTACAAATGATCTGCCATTTCCTTCTCCAGCTTATTTTTACAGGTAAGGAAACGGAGGCAAACAGGGTGAAGTGACTTGCCCAGAGCCAGTAAGTGTCTGAGGCCAAATTTGAACTCATGAAGATGAGTCTTCTTGACTTCAGATCCAGCATTCTATTCTCCATACCATCTAGCTGCCCTACTGTTTTTTAGATTCTAGAAATTCTTTGGTAACTTGGGATCACACTGAATAAATTAAGCCAAGTCATTCAGCATTTATTAAGCAATTACTGTATGCCTGTCTCTGTGCTAAGTGGTGGGGATACAAGGAAGGAAAGAAACAGTTATTAAGTCCCTCTTCTGTTCCAGGTGCTTTATAAATATTCTTTCATTTGGTCCTCCCAACAGCCCTGGGAGATACGTGCTATTATTTTCCCCATTTTACAGTCGAGGAAACTAAGACAGAAATTAAGTGACTTGCTCAGGGACACACAGCTAGTAAGTGTTTGAGGCCCAATATGAACTCAGGTCTTCTTGACTCCAGGCCAAACACTCCATCTACTTCACTAAGTAACTTTTTGGAATAGGTCTAGCTGCCTAGAAAGGCAGTGAATTAATCCTTATTCTCCAAGAGCTCATTGTCTAATGGGATTCCAAAGAGCTTTTGTTTATGTTTATCATTTAATATTTGCTGTATTGGAAATTAAAACTAATAAAATATTACAGTGTTTACTAAATCATTTAAAATGCTAAATCCATTACCTGTTAATGGAAATAGCATATTTTATGTAAAATAACTATATTATCTAAAACAAAAAGGAGACTAGTGTTTTCACATTTTTGCAACTAGATTCTCTTGCATGCTTTTTACATTCAATTTGGTGTGATATTTTGATTTGGTTGAAGAAAATCCTGCTTCACAGTTATGTGGGCTAGACAAGGGAGAAATATTTTAATAGGCAAGTAATGTCTTAGTATCATTATAATAATAGTTTTGACCTTGTGAAGTCCCAGAAAGGATCTTAGGGACCCCAGGGGTTCTTGGACTATGCTTTGAGAACCACTGATCTAGTAGGTGATAGGTGCTAAGGGACTGAACTAAATTAATGACTATATAAATACAGAGAAATGATAACTTGCAAGAGATGTTATAGAGGCAGAAAGAACATCTGTCAAGGAAAGCAATGAGGTTATAAACCTGGGAAATTATTAAATGGTGGTTGAGTTTGACCTTTGGGGACCATTTTAAAATATAACACCATGTCTTCATTATATTACTTTAGCTGACTCAGATGGCTTTTGTACAGTACCATCAATCAGTAATCAATCACTAAACATTTTTTAAATGCCTATTGTATACTAGGCACTGGACTCTGTGTTGCAAGACCATCTTCTCCTTAGGTGTTATCTGGACAGCTAGTTTCACAATGGCATGCTTGCTCAGGTTCTAGATAATGAACAATGATCTCATACTTTCCCAGTCATCAGTGGAGTGAAGTAGGGCTATGTGCTTCCAGCAATATTGTTGGGTGCCTTCAACAAGGATGAAAACAACATCAAGGTCAGTTGCCACACTGATGGTAAATTATTTAACGTGAAAAAGCCATAAGTCAAGATTAAAGTGGCGGGAAAGTTGGTGCCTGACTTTTTGTTTGCCGATAATTGTGCAATCAGTGCAGCCTCTGTGGCTGAGATGTAACAAAGCAAAGATTGATTCTTTACTGCTTGTGCTAATTTTGGCTCAACAGTTAACACCAAGAAAACACAAGTGCTCCACCAGCCAGCACCACACCGTCTACATGTGGAAGCACTGGTTACAAAAAATGGAGAAATTTTTAATGCTGTGTGATAAGTTCACTTATCTTGGCAGTATACTTTCCAGGGATATACATGTAGATAATTAGATTGACACATGCATTGCCAGAGCTAGTGCTATGTTTGGGAAGCTTTGAAGGAAAGTGCGGGAGAGAAGAGGTATTAGACTGATTACCAAATTGAAGGTCTGCAGAGCTGTTGTGCTGACCTCGTTGTTGTATGCTTGTGGAAACTGAATAATATAACCAGTGCCATGCCAAGAAACTTAATGGCTTCAATTTGAATTGTCTTAGGAAGATTCTGAAGATCACCCGGCAAGATAAGGTAAGGGACAATGAAGTCCTTTCTCAAGCTGAGCTGCCAAGTATTCAAACTCTATTGTAGAGAAATGCAACTCAGATGGGCGGGCCACGTTGTTTGAATGCCAAAAGTATGTTTCCCTAAAAGACTATTTTATGGAGAACTCACACAGAGGTCAGAAGAAGTGATACAAAGACATTCTCAAGGCCTCTCTGAAGAACTTTGGTGTTGATTGTGATATACAGAAGACAATGACAGGACTTCCAAACATGGTGTGCCCGCGTTAAGAAGGTGCTGTTCTCCGTGAGCAAAGCAGAACTGTAGTAGTTCAAAAGAAATGTGAGATGTGCAAATTTAGAGACATTTCCACTCCAAATGTTCATATGGACTATTTGTGCCAGACCTATTGTAGAGCCTTCCAAACTTGTATTGATGTGATCAGCCATGGGAGGATACACTGTACCTTGACCCCAACATGGTGATGTCATCTTGGTCTTCTTCAAGAAGGAAGGACAAGAACCAACCAGTCTGGTCAACCAATGTGTACTATCTTACAGGTCCAGAGTTCTTAACTTTTTTTTTTTTTTTTTTGGTGAGGCAATTGGGGTTAAGTGACTTGCCCAGGGTTACACAGCTAGTAAGTGCCAAGTGTCTGGTCTGAGATCGGATTTGAACTCAAGTCCTTCTGACTCCAGAGCCAGTGCTCTATCCACTGTGCCACCCAGCTGCCCCTAGTTCTTAACTTTTTTGTGTGGCATAGACTCCTTTGACAATCTGAGGAAGCCAGCAGACCTCTTCTAATTTTAAAATGCATAAAATAAAGATTTCTTTTACAAAGGAAATCAGTTACAATAAAATACTGTTATCAAAATACTTCTTAAAAACAAGGTCACAAACCCTAGGTTAAAAATTTCCATCAATAGAAACAACAACAGCTGGCATTTGTATAATGTCTACTATGTGCAGGGATCATGCTAAGTGCTTTGCAAATATCATCTCCTGAGATCCTCACAACAGGACCTATTTTATAGATGAAGAATCTGAGACAGACAGATAAAGACAAAGTCTTTATGAGTAACTTGCCAAAGGTCTTACAGCCAGTAAGTATCTGAGACCGTGTTTGAACTCTGGTCTACCTGACTCCAGGCCCAGCATGCTTACCACTGGGCCGTCTGTTCCCTCTAATATAGAAAATAAGTTATTTTTCTGCTTTCAGATAGTAAAGGAGCTTTGTATTGAGCCATATTAGTTACATAACTATATGATTTTTGAAAAGTTTCTGGAATGCTGATGCCCAAGGGCTGATTATACCACTTACTGGACATGATTTTGGGCAAATCACTTTTCTCAAATGAAATCTCCTCCTCTGTAACATGAGAATCAAGTACTTGCTTCCATGTTATTACAGGGTTGTTGTGAAAGTCAGGTATGGAAGCCCTTTATAACTATAAGGTCTCACAAATAGAAAAGCCTACTGATAACCATTTTTACCATTCTAGTGATAATTAGTAGCATTAGTAAGCAAGATGACCATTGTGGCCATGAGTTTAATGAATATATTATTAAGTAATTTACCATTATGGTGGTAATGACATATTTTGTTAATAACAGTAATAGTTATTACTTCATATTTTTGTAATACTTTATAATTTTTAAAATGTTTTCACATCTGTTATGTCATTGGTCATCATGATAACCCTGGGAGTAGAATGGGGTAGATATTATTTCCATTTCACTGATGAATACACTCTGGCTTTTTGAAATTACCACGGAGTGGTAAATTTATTAGGTGATTTATCCAAGATAACACATTTGCTACTAAGGTGTGTAACTGATGTTTGAACCTCCACTAGGTATGGAATCTTTTTGGGGAATAACAGTTATTGTTATTATTACTACCATTGTGGAACTACCAACAGCTACCACCAATTTATCATTATATCAGTCTTTACTGTTTACAAGTGTTCAGTAAGGCAAAACAGTTATTTTAGCTTGTTGATAACTGGTCTTTCCAAGAAGGAACATTGTTTTTAAATGTAATAGCTATTTTCAGATTGTTCTTTGTTTGGGAAAATTGTCTCACAGATAGAGTATTTTTAATATAGATTTGTTTTTACCCACAGTTTATCCCATATGTCATCTCTAGTCTAAAATTTATAATTTTATTTACACATCAGTCAGCTAAAACTCTAAGGCGGTATCCTGGGGACATTACTCCATTGGGGATTTCTTCAGTTCCATCCGGAATTCCCTTTCCCTACAAGGTTATTTATATTTTTATTTGCTCATACCTATTTCTAGATTACTATCAACACAAAATCCTTGAATGCTGCTCTGATAAGCAGTGAAGGTGGAGGAGACGGGGTAGGGAATGCATATCAATGTTTTTTGTACATTATCAGCAATGTTATGTATTGGTTATGCTCTGCAGGCAAAAATAGCTTATTTACTGCACAATTAATTTTATTATAATCTTATTTCCCTATTTTAGATTCCCTGAAATTGTGGATTGCCCACCTGTGTTTTGAGAAAATTTAGCATGTGGTTTTCTGGAGTTACTGCAAGAACTGTATTATAGAGCTGGCGTTAGGGGTAGGAAGGTAAGAGCACTTTTTACTTTCCTATTTGTGGCATCATATGTTTCTTCCCTTGTTAATTGGTTCCATGTTCCCTTTAGGTTTTGTTGATGCTATAATACTGCACCCTACTGGACATTAAGGCATTTCCTGAAGTGAGAAGTGGCATTTTATGGTCAAATAGCCAGCTGGACCAATTTTTATGGTCCTTAGCCCCAGTCATAAAAAGATCAGTAGAAAACAGGTGCTATCTTGTAATCATTATGATGCTCCACCGCTGTTGTTAATATGTTGGCATAAATGCTTTGGTGGTGGGTGGTGGGGATGATGATGGTGATGATGATGAAGATGGTGATGATGATGATGATGATGAAGCAACAGAACTTTAACCTTTGAATTTCATAGCCCATATTATTAAAAACATCCCAAAATAGAATACATACATTGAAAGCTTTAATGTATGTCTTAGGTTTCCTGTGTTAATTCCTGTGTTTCTGAATATATGCACGTTTGGTATTAGCTCTTCTATAATAGTTTTAGGCCCCTCTGCTTTGTGTCTGTCCAGGGCAGACATTTTCAAAAGGGCTCACAATAATGAATTTCTACTTTAATGGGACCTATTTTGAATGAGACATCCTGTGTTCCATTTAATGCAGTATGACTTTAAATGGGGCTTGTTTTATATGTCCACCCTGTAATTTGGCTATCATGTTGTCTACTGTGTGCAATGAACTGTATTTACATAAAGTGAGTGTGGATTGGAGAACAACTGTAGTGTCTGTTGCTGACCTGCCACACTCTTACATTGTTTTCCCATGTCCTAAACTCACTTAAAATGTATAAAGCTGCTCCTTTTAAAAGTATATTTCCACCCATTTTGAGCAGCAAAATGCCATGTGAATACAAGCTTGCCTTTGTAAAAACTCTTAACTAACCATTCAGAAATACTAATGTGAAGGCAATTTTGTGTATTAAATTGTCTGAAAGTAACTTTATTACATTGATTTTTTTAAATGAAAGAAGCTAAAATAAGCAAAAGTCTAGCTGGATTTTAGTTACTTTTTTTTCTTCAAGATTTGCTCTTTTCTTTGTGGGTGTAGGCATGGTTTTGGTGAGATCATTCTAAATTAGCACTTTAGGAAACAGGACCTAATAGTTTGTTTCCTTAATTCAGAAATCCTGAAAATACATTTAAATACCTAGTATTTTGAAAACCTTAAATATATAACATGAAAAGAAAACTGGTTTTGAACAAAAGAAGGATGGGTCTTTCTCTGTTAGTGAAAATATATGGTAGCTTTTATTTGAGAAAAGTTCATGTATTTTCTCCTTTTTAATATAAGAATTATTTTTATATTAAAATATGTACCGTAATCTTTTTTTACATAGTATGTATTTGTTTTTAATGACATTTGAAATAGGTTAAGTTCCTATAAGAGAGATTTGTTAAGAAATATTTTCCAATCATAACAATTGTTGAATATTGGAAAAGATTATAAAGAAAGCAAATATAATTTACTTTTCCTTAAATCTTTAAGATTAGGGTAGATGAATGTGCTGTTTGATGGTTTGGTTTTAGTCCTTCATGAATGATGTACTTCTAAAGGTTTTTCCAATCTTATGATCCAGTTATTTAATAAGATATGAATAATTTAACTCTTCAAATAAGGACTTAATATAACAAATACTTAGTTTATTCCATTGCCTAATTTCTTCTACATGGCACTACTCAGAGTAGGATTTCATATTTTGGAAATTTAAAATCAAATTTCATCATACAAGAAAGTTATCACTTGAGAGTTCATTTAATAAGATATATGAAAATATGGTCGACAAATTCTGAAATAAGAATGAATTGCAATTAACAGAGTTACTTAGGCCATCAATCTAATATGCTTTTGAAGTTATTGTAACATTGCTAAAGCCCTCCAGAATGATTGTGCTCCCAGTTATACAGTTCAACTATTTAAGAGTTTGTTGCACTCAAAGGAAGTTCCCAATTATATGTAGGTAATCTCCCTCTCTCTCTCTCTCTCTCTCTCTCTTTTTTTTAACTATTTCCAGCATAAGGACTATAGCTTCAGCATATTGTTGTTCAGCTTCTGATATGAAGCCAGTGTGTAATAATGTCATGTGAGTTATTGGTAATGTCTCATTAATTTTATTAATTAATAAGATACTCTATGAAAAATAAGATACTCTATGAATTTTTAAAACTGAATCTTAGTTTTTTACCTGTCAGTTAATAATTTTTGATTGGATTCTTTCTAAAATATGTTTTTCCATTTGTTCTTTGATAAAATAATGTATTGAATATAATTTAATACATTTTTGATAATTCAAGACTACTAGTAATAGTTATTGAGAGGTAGTAGTAGTTAGTGATGATGAACTTTTATTCATTTATTGAGATGTTTAGAACTGTTTTCTCCTCTACCAAATGCTACATAGTATTCCACTTCTGTAGTTTTTCTATCTTCCTTTATGGAATTTTTTCATTATTTATTGTTATATGTCACTTGTTTTTGCTATCACTGTGTCCTGCTATTACCTAATCATCTGTCATATTTTACAAAATGTGAGAAAGGAGTATTGCTATACCTCTACTTTGGAGTCATGATCTTAAGCTTTGTGATAGCTATTAATCATTTACACAAATTTCCAGGCTAATAGTGATATTTCAGATAGTTATGGTCAGAAGTCTGACTTTGGATAAGTGGAGTATTGTAATATCTCTATCCATAAATTAATTAAATATATTGATGTATCCCTACTTTTAGAACACCAAATATCTGACTTTATGAAATAGATGTTATTAGCTTTTATCACATTACCAGATGCAAATTCTTTTAATAGCTCATCTATCATTAAACAATCTGGGAGTAGAATTTAACTGTTAACTTAGTTGGCCCTGAAGAAAAATAGGAAGAGAAACTTAAAGCATTTATAAAATATATTTTAAGTTGATAGACAAATAGTTCAGCAGATCTGATTTTAGCAATTTTGTGATTGAATAAGGTGAAATGCATTTGTTGTCCCACTTCCTATAAAATCCTGAACATGAGTTTTTAAAAAAAATCTGTTGGTAATAGTCCACAACCAAAGTTGGAAAAGGAAGTATACTATTCCTGGGCCAACATAGACATCATTGATCATATTGTCTCATTCTAAAGATTTTTTTTTCCTTTGGGCCTCTTTGGTTTTTTAATTTAATAAATGAAGCAAATTGTTGAAAATTTTCCTGGGGGAAAACAGTCTGTATGCTTTAATAAAGTGAAGTGTTGGTTTTTTTTTAATTGACATATAAATAAATATTTTTCAAGTATAAAGAGAAAACTGTCTCCTAATATTTTTTAAACCTTTAGATAGAGGGTTTTTGTTTTTTTTTTTTTGTTAAGACTTTGGTCTCTCTGTCTCACTCAGCTCTCAGTCCAAAAGTTCAGGAACTACTTACCAACTTGACAGACACAGGAGTTTTGACCTGCTCTGTTTCCAACCTGGACCAGTTTGCCCTACGTTGGGCAATCTGATGGCCTCCCAAGGGCCCACCATATTGATGCTGAACTTTGTGTGAGGCATCTAATAGATTTAGCTCACTTGGCGCAGTGGATGGAGTAGACTGCAGGAGACCTGGAGTCAGGAAAACTCATATTTTTGAGTTCATATCTGGCCTCAGACACTGACTAGCTGTGTGACTCTGGGCAAGACACTTAACCTTGTTTGCCTCAGTTTGCTCACCTGTAAAATGAGCTGGAGAAGGAAATGACAAACCACTGCAGTATCTTTTCCAAGAAAACCCCAGATGGAGTCACAGAGTTAGACATGACTCAACAACAGCAACAGCAGCAAGAGCTCAGAACTCCTGAGGTCCAGAAATCCACTCCCTTACTCACCCGCCTTGGCATAATTGGAACTATAGCTGTGTGACCCACCATGCCTGGCTAGATTTTTTAAAAATAAAGATTTTATGATTCGTTGTATCTGAATTAGATATTACAAAGTTCATCTGGATTTTATGATGAGTAAAATAACCAGTTACTATATGATCAATTTCTTCCTAATGTGATACCTTTCCTCCAGGTTCCTTTTAGTATCTCTTGGTTGTGTAAAACCATTATTATAGATAATATGACAATTTTAGTGTATAAACAACTAAGAAAGGATAAAACTACAAGTTATTATTATACCAACTGTCAAAATTTCATCTAATTTAAGAAATGTTTACCTTCAGGAACAAATTTTTCTTTTCCTAGCCCCTATTTTCATTAAGAGTGTGTGTGTATGTGTGTTTGTGTGTGTAAAATGTATTTTGAGGGTAGTGGAATGAAGTATACAAATAACTGTTAATTCAAAGAAAAATATGATCTGTCCCATAACAGGGAAATAAAAATGTTAGGAGAGCTATAGATAGTATAAAAGCAATGCTATAATTTTTCTTCAAAAAAAAAAATACTTTCAGCATCTGAACATTTTATACTGACCTATTAATATTCAGCCATTCTGTATTCTTTTTTTTTATTCCAACCAGGTGAAAGCTGACTCAAATAAGTTCTCTAAGTAAATTTCCTCAAGTAATAGCTACTCATATTGATGTTGGGCTTTAAGGTCTGCAAAGTGTTTTCCTTACATACTTATATACATATTACATTGCATTTTATAGCTGAGAAAACTGAGGCCCTGAGATGTTTGTGACTTGATTATGATCACATATAGTGCCAAGGTATAATTCAAATCAATCTGTTGGACTGAGGCCAATACTCTTTCTTGTTATATTTCAAATGCTGTATTATAGAAAAGAGATTGGCTAATAGGTTTATTAGGAAAATATTGATGATTCCTGAGACACGTCCTTTTGATACTGTGAAAACCGGTGCGCTAATGATTCACTCTTACCTTCATCACTTCATTGGTTACCAATCCATCCTGCCTGCCATGGAGAAAAAAGTTGATCAAAGAGGACTTTGCAAAATAAGTAATCATATAATATTTTTTTTAGCAGTATTAGAATAAAAAGACCTCAACTTAGGAAACATAAAATCTTTTCAAGTATTCATCAGTTCAATGTTTCTAATTTCTTCTATCAGCCAAAGTTCATTCAAGCTGTTCTATTTTACCTTATATGAGAATTTCCTAAACTGAAAAAAAATCTTAAACGTTACTAAAAGAATGTGAATATTTGACAATTTTACCAGCTTTAAAATTAATTTTAAGTTTGTTTTAATTACTTTTAAGCATGCCCATCTACAAACCATATATATTAATAGCACTCACTTTTACATTTCTGGATCTAGTAAAGATCATAATGTTCTTAGAGTATTGTAATCTGTTGTTTGCTTTGCAATGTACAAAAGTGGTTTTGTTTTGGCATTTTGTTCATTGTCAGTTTTAATAACGTATATGATTTACATTCTCTGTCACTGTGTACATTTTTTTTTTACATTTAAATTTTATCATTTGAATAATTTCCTCATTTCAGGTGATTTTGGTGTCTCATCACTATGCAAAAATTGAAAGAGGTGATTGTGTGTGACTTTTTACTAAGTACCCGGATTTCTTCACCTCTTATTATGTCAACAGCATTTTTGATTTAAAACATCAAATTAAATAACAATATTTTATGCTGGCTTTTACTTTAGTTCATGCATTTAAAAACTGAAAATCAGATAAAAGATACTTTCAAAATAAATTCAGTATATTATTTATGAGTGGAGCAACACATTAGCATCAGGTTCACAATAGATCATATCGCTTTTATTCCATCTTACAAGCTTAGCAGCACAAACAGAATAATCAACATATTATTTGGCTGTCATCTGCTGAACAGAAACCAGAGATCACAAGGAGGTTTTCCCTAGCTGTGGTGATGGCCTTTTTGTTCCAAGCCCCCATCTGGGAGGGCCATGGTGTGTTATCATATGGAACGCGGGGTTTTCTGTAATCTGCTTAGCTGCACTGCAGTTTGAATCTTCATTCCATGTTTGTGTAATTTATAATTTTAATGAGACCATGGCTCTTGTGGGCTTTGAAATATATTAAAAGCTCTTTTGTGCATATGCTTTTGTTCTTGCTTAATAGGCTCAGTGTATTTAAAACTGATGAATTTTTATTCATGGATTTGGATGTCTGGGGATTAACTTAGACTGAATATCATTGCACTCATCTATTGATGTTTAGAAAGTTTTTTTTAATACTTGTAACCATAAGAAGGAAAGAATTTATAGAAATTTTGAACACTAGGAAATAATGAAATGGGCCTTACTAATTTAAATTTTGTTATTTCAGGTAATTATTGTAAAGCAATAATTCTGAAAAAGCAACTCTTCCATGATTTGAAATCCTAAATATTATTGCATATATTGGAATCATGTTGGTGATAGAGGGGAGAGGAAAAAAGAAAGTGGTAATACAAATTTTGGTATTTATTAATATGAATAAATCATATGTTCATGTATTTGTAATTCCCAAATTATAGGTCCTGAAATTGAATAGGTAAATGTACGGTTTTTTAAAATGGTTTATACTTTTTTTTATGGTTAATGTTTGAATAATTTATTTCATTAAAGGGTTTGTTAGTAGAGGATATAATGGGAAAGAATTGGAAAACCATTTTTCTAACATAGAAATAATATTTGGTTGTTTTTTTAAACCTGAAATCTTTCATTTACTAAATATTTATAACCTATAATTAGTTGGAAAGGACCTCACATTCTATCTAATCCAATTCATATAGACTCTATTTTAATGTTTTATAATACCAAAAACATTGTACAGCATTTTTGCAGAAATTAGACTTTGTGTTCTAGGCCTGCCTTCATCCAGACAGGATACTTGAGATTGTCAAATCATGTAAATTTATACCTGCTTTAAAGCTTTAATTTTAGGATACTTCTTTGCTGAAGAATACATAGAACTATGTTAGTTCTACTGAATTTACTAAGGATCCGAATCTGACACAAAATCCTCAGAAGCATTATTTAGAAATTTTTTTGAGTGAGTGACAGTTATGATTGGGCAATCATTTTCTCATGAAGCAAAAGAAACAAATTAAGAATGAGGATGAAATCACACTGGTTTTTAGTTTTCTTCATTATTTGTTAGATAGGTATCATAATAATTTGGTTTTCCATAGTGACTCCCTACTTCAACTCCACTATTAGTTATAGAGGTTCAGTTAGCTTTGTTAAACTGTTTTTTTTATGGTATGTATATATATCATTGAATTATTTTACACAATATAAAACAAAATCCTACTTGTGATCGAACGGTTCTTTTTCTTTCCCTTATTTTTTATTTGCTGTTGCTTTTCAAGAGTTGAATTGTTATGTGTACAATTGTAATACTTATATAGAATGGTAGAGAGACCAGATCTGTGATTTCATTGGCTTGGACCAGGGTACTGCCTGCCTAGCGAGGAAGCTCTCTTTGCCAATGCAGGACACACTTTCTCCTCAAGTTCTAGTATTACAGAGTTGCCTCGAGCTCTGAGGGAAGGGGGCTCCTTCCTTGTCACAGAGTCATTGTGTGTCTGGGGCAGCTTTTGGACTGGGGCCTCCTGGACCCTATATCCACTTGCCCACATTGTCTCTCAGTAGCATAGAATAATAATAACATAACATTCTGAGTTTTGCAAAGCACTTTCGTAAAACACGTAAGATGGGTAGTGCAGTTATTTTTATCTCCATTTTTCATAAAAAGAAGCTGAAACACAGAGAAGTGATAGACCTTGCCTATTGTCACACATTTTGGAAGTACCTGAGCTGGGATTTGAACCCAGGTCTGCTGACACCCAGTCTGGTGTTCTAGCCACCATCCCTTGATGCTGCTTTAGTTTTGTTCATACTGTAAAAGCAATACTGCAATAATATTGCAAAAGCAAACGAATTCTCAGTATTACCAGAAAGAGCTTAACTATGTGAAATCAAAAGTCTTATCTTCTAATATAGTAGAAAACTGAGGGTTTTTAAGATTCATTACGTCTTTTAAATCATAGTAACAGTCGCAGTAACAATATGTACTATATCCCAAATCTAAAATACTTTAAACTGTTTGGGTATAAACAAAAGAGTACTAGCCTTAGAATCCCTTTTCTGACAGTCAAGGTAAGTTGTTTTTACTCTTCGAACTTTAGTTTGCATATATTTGAAATGGGTATAATTCTGTGAAATATGTACTATTATCTCATGGGTTGTTAGAGGGAAAGCACTGTATAAATGTTGATGACTCATTTTTTTCATTTTCTGCTAAAACTAGTGTTATTATTGTCTTTCTTTCAAGGGTTGGTGATAGAACCAATTCTAAATGAATTGACAGTGATATCATCAATGAACAACCAATCTACAAACGCTTCTTAAGTGCTAATATACTAGGTGTTACAGATACAAACACAAGAATGAAGTATTGCCTGCTCTCAAGGAGATCACATTTTGTTGAGTGATAACATATGTATATGTATTTAACAAATTCAAAACAAATTCAAATTGAATACAAGTCAGGGAGGGAGGGAACCAACATTTGGGGAAATCAGGAAAGGTTTATGTGTAGAAGGTGGCACATTAGGTACATCCTGAAGGGAGAAAAGATTTTTAGAGGTGGAGGTGAGAAGAGAGTTCCAGAGGAAATTGGCCACTGCAAAGGCACAGAGATGGGAAATGTGATCTGCCATGCAATGTGTGAGGAATAGAGAAAAGGCCAGTTTTGCTGGATCAAAGAATGAAGGAAGGCAGGTCAAGCAACATCTTCTCCATAAGGCTTTTCCTGACCCCCTTCAGCTGCTGGAGTCTTCCCTCCCCATACCTTGTAGTTAACAAATTTGTATATGTTTGTATCGTATTATTTACGTGTATTGTACTGCACATTATATATGTGCTCTGTTCATATATGTACTTTTTGTCTCCCCCATTAGTATCTAAACTCCTTGTGATTAAGGATTCATTCTTTGTAGCTGTAGACTGATAATGCATAATGAGAGTTTGGGACCAGATTATAAAAGGCTTTGAATCTCAAACAGAAGAGTTTAGATTACTTTCAGGCAATTGATAAACTTTTGTTTTTGTTTTAAAGTACCTGTGAATGTAACTGTAACAGGAAGATTAGATAAAATGTAGTTTCTTGGTCTCGAGGAGTTTAGAGTCTGGGAGGGGAACTAGGAACAAGTACAGATAGCTATGATATACAGCACTTCATATAAAACAGAGAGATCATTTATTCATACACTTTTCTAGTTGGGGGGGGGTCCCTACCTTCAAGAAGTTTATATTTTTCCTAATGGGGGAAAACAAGTCAAATGAAATCAACAAGCATTTCTTAAGCACCCTATGTATGTGCCAAGTATAGAACAAAGTGCTGGAAATACAAACATAAACCAAAAGAAAGAAAGACAGTAGTGTACATTCTGATATGGAAAGATAGCACATAAAAAGGACTCTTGGGTCGGGGATGAGAAAGGAGACTTCATGGAGGAAATCTACAGTCAGGAGTGAAGTTGAACGAAGACATGGCTGACTGGGGCACTTTTCTTAAAAGTGGAGGTCCTGGAAGGGGCCACACGGGGTGGAGGGTACCTCCATTTGGGGAAGGCCAGGATGACATGTAAAAAGTTGTACACACAAAATAGACATATATTATAAGTGGAATGTGGGAGGCAGGGGAGGGACCTAGAAGGTGGGGTTTGAACTGAGTCCTAAGGGAAGCTGGAAGCCAGAGACAAAGAGGGAGAGTCCCACGAGATGGAGTGTTGGGTTCTGGGAACAACGAGAGGGCCAGTGAAACTAGGTGGTAGACTGTGGGGAGAGAGGGAAATTGTAAGATTGGGAAGGCAGGCAGGAAAAAGGTTGTAAAGGGCTTTAAATGTCAAATAGAGGATTTTATATTCAATTGTGGAGGTAATAGGGAGCCACTGTAGCTTATTGAGCAGGGAAGGATGATTTGGTCAAACCTGTAATTTAGAAATCACTCTGGCAGCTTAGTGAAGGATGGATTAGAGTGGAGAAAGACAAGGCAGTAAAACCAACTAGAAGCCTGTGGTGTTAGTCCAGGCATGAGGTGATAAAAGACCTGCCCCAACACGATAGCTGTGTGTTTGGAGGGAGTACAAAACAAAAAGCTGTAGAAGGCAGAGAGGAGAAGGTTGTTACAGGTACCAACACAGGCTTATGAGACTATTGAAGAGTGAATGACTTTGATAACTAAATCAGGCAATCTGTGGCTTCTTGATATACTTATGCTTCCAGTGGGGTGGGGGTGGGGGTGGGGGCACTGATTATAAACTTTCCAATCTTTCCTCTTATTGTGTAGACTTTGGTCATATTTTCCCATTAATCTTGTACACAGGGACAACGCAAACTTCTATAGATCTTTCTCTGGTTCTTTTAAAGATGAATGAATTAAATTTAATATTTAAAGATGAAGAAACATATTTCCATTTAGTTGAGATCTTGGGATTACAGGTGTGATATCACATACTATCAATGTGTTGATCAATTTTGTTTAATTGGTTTTTTTTTTTCTTCATTACTAGGAAGGATTCAGATTATATATAGTGGGAAAAAATGGTGGTGTTAAAAAACAAAATGCATCAGTAAAATTCAGAAAAAATAAGTGTTTACATTTAAATGTTACATTTGAGTATTCAGTTTGTTAGATGTTTAGAATTAAGTGCTTTTTACATTTAAACTGTTTAAGTTTCTGAAAAATATTTCACTAATTCAGAAATATTTAAGAGAAACCAACTAGAAGTCATCAAACAGTTATAAAATGTCTACCACATGCCAAACAGTGTCCTAGGTTTTGGAGTATAAAGATGAAAATTGGAAGCGCCTTCACCCTTGAATAGTTTGGAGTTTAGTCTAAGTTTTTGGTGAAGGCGCATTGAATTTGGAGGCAGAAAATCTAAATTCAAGACCTAGTTCCAACACTTTACTCATAGTAAGCGTAACTGAGGACAAATCACTTAACTCTCTAAGCCGTATGTATAAAATGGAGTAATAATATTTAGACTAGGTACTTTACAGAACTGTTGTGAAGAAGGTAATTTAATAAGGACTCTCCATGTTGCTTTTAGAGAACAAGCAATATTCATAAATAATTTTGAGTGTGCATAGTTTGGAGACTGGGATGTATATTTTAATGTTAAGAGAATTTTATACATTCATTCAATGAATTTTGCACAGTGCTAGGTTGGAGGAAGGGAAGTTGTACAGATCCATTCTTATAAGCAGTTGCTACATCGAGTCAAATCCAAATGGCATTTCAAAATTACTAGAACTTTTTACATACCTTATTCCTCCTGATAGTAATTTCCCAATCATGACTGATAAAGAAATGTCCATTCCACGCTTTTTGTTAGCAATAGATAGCGTTTTTTTTATAGCACTGCTATTGGCATAACTGACGTGTTTCTTA